CCAGCAGAAGATCATCCAATTAGGATTTTTCTCCCATAGTACCTACTTCTCCCATTATTTAGGCCCCCACAACCTGGATTTACATATTAGATTAACTACCAAAATAATTAGAAAGTGACAAGGGAATCAACCAATGGAAACCATTAGCTTAACACTAAACTATAATCTTAGTAATTCTAAAGGGCGCCAGTAGAAATGTACATGGCCTGAACTGAAGTAGTCAAGCTGTAATAGTCTTGGTTTGTAATAATTTAGTGCTGGTACATTTTGGTGTGGTGTTTTTTTTTTATTTGAAAACAATTAAAGGTTCTTTCTTGAATATTGCATACTAAGGTTCTGTCAGCAGTTCAATCAGCTGCTGATGAGTATGAGAAAAGCAATCAAAATTGATCTTTTACCAGCGCCTATAGAGCAGTAGGCTGTTTAAAGGGGTTAGCAGCTTGGCTATGATAACTAGTGAACAACAAAAGTTAATCATTAGTTAATTAATTAGCAAACTTTTCAAGTAATAGACAGATATGGGATAGCGAGTGGGAAATTGGGAAGTTGACAGTGCTGTAATACTGCCAAATAACCAACTAATTCAAAACATTTGGCTACTTTTCAAATAACCTCTGATATACACAACTTACTTTGATACTGTAATGGGATCCTATATTGTTGGGTTGGAGTTTGCTTTCCAGAGGGGAGCCACTATAGAAGATAAATTCAGAAAGAATAGTCTCTAGACTTTTAAAAGATTTATTCCAAAATCTGAAACTGGTTACAGAAAAGGTTTCCTCTTTCCCCTTGTGGCCTAGACCAATATGCCAAGAAACAGAAGGTTAGAAAGAAAGGTTAGAAAATAAGTTGCTTTCTCACTTGTGCTCTTTATCTCTACAAAAGCTGCGATATCCTGTGTTCAAAAGAGAGCAAAAACAATGCAAATACAATCGTTGAAGCGAGACCTTATCCAAATTGACCACAGACAGGCTGATTGCAAGTAAAGCCTTTAGCAAAGAGCTCTCAAACCTTTCACGTTATCTTTTGGCTAACAATCATCATGACTAGAAGTCCTGTGTCCATATTAAATTCTGACTACCAGCCAGAACCTCAGTGTTCATAACCTTCAGTAGATATCTACAGTAGTGGCTGGAAGTTTCCTCAACAGAACAGAAACAACACATACAAGTGACATAGTGTTCAAAGAACAGCGTCAGCACCTTAAAAGGAATGATTTTCTGTTTAGCTCTCTGCTGACGCACTACGCTGACGCACTACGCTAAGGTTAAAATCTCTGTAGCCATCCATCTAGTAGCCATCTTGAAGCCTTAATTTTGTCTGTACTTTGGTCCATTTTTATAGAATCAGTATGTCACGCAGTCTCAGAAACCACATTAGCAAATCTGTTTCTTGGCTGACTGACCACATTTGGGGTACAGAGAAAACTGTAAATTTCATTTTTGGCTGAAGCATAATTTAAAAGTTTAGTGGCCCCTCATCTACAACCACTGTCAGGTCCCATTTTCGATACATCTCCTCTCCAACTCACCAACCAGAAGTGCGTCACGGATTTTTCAAACAGAGCACACTCATCCTTGGCTAGGTTAGCCACAATGTGCTAATTGGCAAGCCATGAACCTTTGTAATGCAGACTTTTTTTGAGAGTTCTGAACATAACACATTTTGAGAATAATTGCTTTGTTTGGCTAAGCTTTGGTTTAGAACCATGGTGAATTGCCTTCTTTTTTTGTTGTTGTTGCTAGCCTTTAGCTTGTCAACTAGCAAGCTAGCATAGTAAAGTAATGGCATTACAACAGCAGTCATTTATAACAGATGTAGTTTGCTCAATAAAAGCCATTCTGGATATGGCAAATCAAATGTTCTGGGTTTGAAATATTAAGCACTTTAAAGTGTTTTATCACTATGGCTTAACAGAGTTGTCTGCTATTTTTGTGGCTTTGAGAAGGGAAGTGTGTCAGCTTGCAATTTCTGGGGAAGTTCTGATCCCTCAGCCTTCTGAGGCCTCATCTAACAAGCTTCACTGCCCTACTGAAAAATTCCATAGAAACTATTAAGTGTTTTTTGGTTCATGATGGTTTTGTAATGTATTTTGACTTCTTACCTAAGAGATTTACACATGGAAAGTAAATCTTACCGGGGTATTTGTCTTGCCTACTACAGTGGAGCTTAGCTTCGCAAATGATTTTGATGGAATAAAATGTATGCAGCACTGCAGTTTGCACCCCTAGAGGGAGACAGATACATGAGATCAAAAACGGGAGGGGAAAATGGCACATAGGAGCAGATGTAGTACAAAGCAATAAAATGGTTGGCACATGCATTTTTACTACAGGATAAATGACTGAATTATATATGTCCCCTAATCATGTGCCAAAAGTTTTTACTATGGTAGCTAAAAATGTAGCTCATACGCTGGTAAAGCCTACCTGTCAATTATATAAACCTTTATTAGACATTATATTTTAGCAAAAACCTCAAGAATAGACCAATACACAAAATACATGTAAAGCCTACATTCTCAGTTATGGTCTATCACTCATATAGTCTATTAGGTGAAATGAATGAATGAACAAAGGATAGGTGTTCTCTGTGATGGATTTGCCCTCTTTCTGTCCTAAGCTGATTTCAAATCAGGCTTTATAGGGGTCAGGCCTAGTTTATACTGCACCACGTGCTACCGCCAACTGACCTGCAACCTGCCCAGTGGAGACCACAGCGTAAGCTATCTACTCTAAGACTGTGCTTTATGAAGAGGGAGTGCAGGCTTGTAATTGGAGCTTCAGCTTGCCATTCCCCAGAGTTTACACTTGTTAAATATAACCCAGATTGGCCAGCTAAGCAAAAGGAGCCAGCAAAAGAGCAGCAATGTGCCTGGTGTTGGCAGAACCAGCACAGCTGCTCAGGCCTGGCACTGAAATGGCAGGTTTATAATGACTTTGCAGCTCTGACTTGATGTGTCAGTAAAAGCTTTACATCTCCTGTAGTATCCTAATAAAATCAGTTCCTTGTCTATTTCCTTCCTATTTCTTTGTGCCTGAATATTAGAAAATGACTCTTTGTTTGCTAATTAGAAATATATCAGATACAGGGGCCCTAAAACGAAACAATATTTGTTTCAGAAAAATAAAATTTAGCACAACATCAAGCTGATGGTAGAAGAATTCCGACCAGACTGCACTACGAGTACAGTAAAGCACAGAGGTGTAAAGATCATAGTCTGGGCTGCTTTTCTTATAATGGTGTCAGTGAGCAAAGAAATTGCTCAAATGATAACAATCTGAAACAAACCAGACACCTTTTAAAGAATGCTTTGCCAAAAAAGATAATTACGGGCTTTGATTGGCTTGACTTTATGATTAAATCAGCTATTTTAACATCATTTTTTAGTATGGCACAAATGTCCAAATTCTTTTTTGAGGCCACTGTAAAAATAAGAAGTTAGTAAACTAATCTTAAACATTCATCTGTGGTGATACTGTCAGTGGACGTTTAATCTTTTAGGTTAAGAAATGCAACATTGCAAACAGTAAAACACAACATTATCAGCTACGTTCTTTAAGGTCTGCCCTGCCTAAACGCTTAGGTCAGATCTATCAGTGTCATGGCCCCCAAACTACGGGGCCATGTCTCTTCATGACTGTCCCTGACTTTTCTCCTTTAGAGCTCATCTTAAAACCTACCTCTTTTCTCAGCACTTTCATTTTACATCTTACAGATGTTTTTCCCCCCTGCCTCTGTAAAGCAACCTTGGGTTTGAGAAAGGCACTATATAAATTAAACTTATTATTATTCCTTATTATTATGACTTCCCTGTTTCTTGTAGCAATATGTCAAAATTTTGACTTATCCTGAAATTGACATAGTATCTTGAAATATTGACTTTATCAGGAAATAATTTATTTGCTTGAGATTTCAAGCTGTTATGGCTAAATTCTGACATACTATGTCAATAAAAGTACATAGATAGTTATTTGGGAATGTGTCAACATAGAAAGTCAAAATCCAGAAAACAAGTGATCAGTCTGAAGTATTTAGTCATTATCTCCACATATAAAGTCATTGTTTCATAACACTAACTCATTTTGAGATACTTTATTATTATTATTATTATTATTATTCCAAAATGTTAAAGGGGAACCGATTTTTCAAACATTTTGCCTAATTCAGAGTGGTTTGGTGTGAAATGCTCCAATCTGAAGAAACCAAGCCAGAATTGTTCACAGCAGTGGTGATAGGAACCAAATTTTAGATTAATGCCTCTGAAATCTCCCTCCCAGAAAGTTATTACATAAAAGTGTTATGCCTGATGTCTAATACATTGCTTTATAATAGTTTTGTGATAAAGTTTTGGCTTAAAAAGTATTTTAATCCAAATATTTCAATCCATTTATGGTGGAGAGTTACACGCAGAGCATTGTAAAGCAAAATAGTCCATGAAAAAAATGTATTTTTTTCAGATTTCTGACTATTTTACAGTTGTTAACAATACATATAAAAACTTAGTTGACACGTGTAGGTTCTGTGGTGTTTTGGGTAGTAAATAAAATGGCTACCTTTGTGTTGTAGACGTTGTAACCCCCTGGTTCCAATCAGCACCACTATAGAGAAATCAGAGTCTGCAGGTTTCTCTACAATGAACCATTTCACATCAAAACACTCTGGATGACTCTGTTCACATCACAAGGAGTAAACTATTGAGAAAGTTTGAAAAAAATGGTGGAATTCCCATTTAAGTCATTATGTCGACATAGGAAGACAACAGTGTGAGAAAGTAAGTCGGATTTTTGAACCGCTGCTGCCAGAGGAAACAGAGAAGGACAAAATCTCCGGCGATTATTTTCTCTTCTGCTGGTGGGAACCGGCTTCCCTACACGAGGAGCCGTCCAGAGCTGCTCTTGTATTCGAAAAGAGAAAAATGTCCAGAACATGCAGGATAAGTGTACAAGTGAGTAATGTTAGCACACTGACGTTGGAGAGAGGTTGGCATTTAGCGCGGGGAGAGAGTGAGAGTGAGTGAGCGAGGGGGGGGAGGTAAACAAGATGGCGACAGCCTTGAAGCAGCTGCATCAATAAAACCCGGAGCAGAGAAATTCACATTTGACTGCAGTGACAACACTAAAAGGGTGAATCTGGAGTCGTATTTGTTCTAGGCTTACTAGTATCACCATGACGAGGTAAGACGTGCGTTACATTTGTCGTGAGGACACTTGGATGCACTGACTGTTGACTGGCGGTTAGCTTAGCATAGCTCGGCTCTGTTCACTTATAGTGAAGCTAACTGGCTAACAGTTGGCCGGTTAGCCTCACTGACTGGTCATTCCGACTGGCCTGTCTGTTCGCGGATTATTTAAAACTGTCGTGTCCATGTTAGCCGTACCAAAAGCAAATAAGCACACTGTACGTGTAGTTCAACTGAATTATTTCGGAGCTGTGTTGACCGGGTCTGATAAGTCCGTTCATGTTTGTCCGCCGCTATGCGGCCAAGAACTCGGGACTTTAGCGGTTAGCTAGCCGCTTTGCCCCGTGAGTTTAACTGTAAAGGATTAGCTGGGTAACCTTTACCTCTGTTGTACTGTCTTACATCGCTTTTATTTGCTTTCGTTGTGTAGTTGCTTGCAAGCTACTGTGAAATAACCATGAAGGTAGCTACTTAAATGGAGTCGTTATGTTTATAGACGTAGCAACAACCGAATGTAAATCACATTTCTGCGCGACATTCAGATTAGCTTGCCTGCTAATCTAGCTTGTCAAACACTAAAGTCAAGCTTGCTATGTATAACTAGCTAGCTAACGTTTATTTGAAACATTTCCTGTGAATAAATTACTTATTTATTAAGTCGGCTTGCTAAATGAGTCTCTTAAAGTGCGCGGAATCCTCGTTCAGCTGATGTGAAAATATGAGCCAAGTAAATGTGTTTACAACGAGCAGACACACCTCTTGTTGACTTTTATTTACCTGTTAAGTTTTCACTTCAGCACAACTGATCTGTGTTTAGCTAACTCAGTCATAAAGTGTCGTTGTCGTTGACAGTTTAAGCTAAGCTTGGGCGACATGTCAAGTATAGTATTACAACACTTTGTCAGTTTCACGTTACATGATGTGCATCACGATATCTGGTTTTGCTAAACTGCAACAGACGAAAGAGAACCAATAGTGCAACATTTAAAAATGTAAACATTGCTGTCAGAAACTCTGAATTGGGGATGTACTGGTCCGGATTCTATATTAGCTTATTAGCTTACTTTTTAACCCAAAGCTCATATTGGCCCACATTTATCAAGCATTTCGGATTAAGACCAGTTTGTCTAAGATCATCTCATAGAATTTCATTGTGTTAATTAGAAAACTTAAGCTGGTCCTACATCTGTATTATAACTCCAAGAAGTTTGGTCAATGTGGGTCATTGTTTGGACTAAATGAACAATTTCTTGTACACATTAATAAAAGAAAAATAAGTTGCCTATTTAAATAACATGAATCAAAGTGCTACATTGAAAGTAAAAGGCACCTAGCTGTTTAATGCAATGTGTCATACATAATTATGCTATGATAGTTTGGTATTAGTATAGTAGCATAGTAGCAACATTTAAATACAACGCTTGTATTATGTTTGTCATAGAATTGCACAACAGATTGGCCAAAATAGAAATAATGAATTGGCCGATTGCATGTTTGGAATCTGCCGATTCTGTTCTTGGCTGATTCCAATCATGTTTCCATACTGTTAATACAATAAATTATAAACCTTTTCACATACTGCTTTGCACTAAATCCAGTTAACCAGGCGTAAGTATGCTTTTTCTAATGAATCATGCAGCTAGTGTTCTAAAGCGCTGATGACGTCCATGATATGCTCAGAGAAGCGCATTGTGATATAATTGATCATGATAACGATAAATGTCATGTTGATCACCCCAGTTTAGCGTTTTTACACTCTAATTATTCTGTTTCCCCTGTTTGCAGGTCTCTTGAATGTTCTAGGATGAGCGCTGGTCGGGATTTGCTATGGTGAATGAGAAATAAGTGGTCATCCTGAAGGCGCAGCAAAAATATACCAAAGAAGTACTCGCTCTCCTTGTGCTGGACCTATATGTACAGTATTGCTGTCATCATACTGTGAAGATGTGTCTTGGCTCGGTGTACCCGACACTCTAGAGAACATCACGTTGTGCAGAAAGGAAAGGCTGCAGACCCAAGTCCGGGTTCTTAATTCGAAAACTGTTTTGCTTTGCACTGGATATGTTGTCAGAGATGAATAAAGGTCCAGTCATACCAAATGTAGGCTAATACGAGCCTGCTTGCAATTGGACAGCGTCTTTTGAACACAAAAGGCCGGTGCTGAGTACAGCAGTGCTGTCGTTTGGGTTTTCTTTTCTTTTTCTCTTTTTCCACTGTCTTTTATTTTTTGCACTGGACCTCCCTGGCTCCTCTCCCAGTGGAAACTCTGCTGCACCCTCCCTCTTCCCCCCCGGCACTACTGCCACTCATGTTTACAGTCCCTCTGTATCTGAGCCTGTTTGAAAGCAGTGCCGTCGCCGCCCTTGGTCAGGCATGAATCATCTCTGATGCCGATCTAGTGGGTTCCTCTTCTCCTCCCAATCAGAACTGAACTCCTGGAGACGAACCGCACCCCACGTTAGCAACCGGCGACCACCAGCGGTCGAGTTGCACCAGAGTGAATTGCGGGAGAGCAAGTGAGCGAGAGAGAGAGAGAGAAAGGGAGCAGGGGGTCAGGAGAGAAGATGAGCGTCGGTGAGCTTCAGCATCTGGACTACCTGACCGAGAATGAGCTTATGGGCATGGACACTTTCATCCACCGCATCGACTCCACCGAGGTGATTTACCAGCCACGGCGCAAGCGCGCCAAGCTAATTGGGAAGTACCTGATGGGAGACCTGCTGGGTGAGGGCTCCTATGGCAAGGTGAAGGAGATGCTGGACTCAGAGACTCTGTGCAGGAGAGCGGTGAAGATCCTCAAGAAGAAGAAGCTGAGGAGGATCCCTAACGGAGAGGCCAATGTGAAAAAGTGAGTACAACATATTTTCTCTCTCTCTCTCTCTCTCTCTCTCTCTCTCTCCCTTTTCTATCAGCCATTGTCTTTCCCTTTCTGTAACTTGCTTCTTTCTTTTTTTCTCTTTCTCTTCTTTCTCTGTCTCTCTGCCAATTGTCAGTCAATCTCTTTCCCTTTTCCTGTCATTATTTCTTTCATGTTATCTTTCTTTTTCTTTTGACCCCCTGTCGTACTTTCTTTTTTTCTGTTTTTTTCCTCCATTCTGTCAGTCCATCCATTCCTCTTTTTTCCTTTTTCCTCTCTGCAGCACTTTGTTCTTTCTATCTTTCTCTGTCTCTCTCATCATTCTGTCAGTCTATTTATCCCTTTTCCTTTTTGCTTTCTCTCTCTGGCTCATGTTACTGCAGTCGGCTTCCTGATGACTTCGCTGTATCTAAAAAAGAAAAATTCACATTTCAGCACCACAGTTGCAACAGGCCAATTGTACTGTCTATCATGGGTGAAGAGGTTGAACTAGAAAGGTGAAACAGTGACCGGTTCATTCTGTTAGCTGCACCAAAACATGTCATTGGATCACACTGGAGCTGCCATTTCATTCACTGTTTAGCAGCTTTAATGTCAAATCTCAGTAAATGTGGCTTCTGAGCTCTGTGTTAAAATTTTTAAAGGCCCATAAGGCTGGAACAATATTATGCCACCATTCCTTTATGGTGGTCCTGTGTTTAAATGAACAATTCAAAAAAGTGTTTAGCAGTTACTTGATGGCAATAGATACATTGAGCTGTGAGCTGGGACAAAGGCCTTTCTTCTCAACTGTTTATTTCCTATAGCAGTGCAGTAGCAGCAATTTAATGTAGCTGACCAGCAAAACATAAAACGCTCCTTTGTTTTCAGACTATGTTTATACAAAGCTTGGCCACAGAATGATCTTTTTTCCCCTTCTTTTTTGTCTCTCACACTGCCACAGCTAATATATGCCAGGGATTTTCCATTACTAGGTCTGCATGATATCCGTAATGCATTTATTTTGATAGATTAACATATATACCTTAGATATGGCATGATACCACTTTTTTTTTTTTTCCCGATACCAATATTGAAACCTTGCATATCAGCTAATACCAAGCTGATATATTTCCTCAAATACTCCCCCCAGAAAAAGAAACGCATAGCTTACAACATGGCATTACAGAAAATCAGTGTGTACTCTGTCAGGATAGATCTGTGACAGGATTGTCGGCATTGGATTATTCCTTTTTTTTTTTAACCTCCAGTCCAGCATTTCTCCTGATATCGGCCAGATACTTATACCCTTTGTTACCAAATACCGTCTCTACTCTTGGAGAAATTTTCAAAATCCAGCGGTTATTCCTTGTTGTAACATAGATAACAATCAGTCTGTGTTATTTTGATCAGAATTATTTACATTTTTTTGGATCATATGAACATCATCATTATTCATTAAAACACTCTCAGAAACTCCTCTGTGGTTGATCAGGATGCTCATGTTAGAGGGCCCAATATATGGTAAAGCCCTATTTCATAAGATTTCTTTTCACTGAAAAGTAGTGATTTTCCTTTCTGTGCATGCTGATGTCTTTTATTTCTGGGGGTTTGTGATGTCATTTTGTCCCTTCTCCTTTCCAGAGGAGCTGTTTGATTTTTAATCACATCATGCAGCTTAATTAAAACGCGGCAGTGTGGAGCCTCGGGGTGCCTCTTTATATAGCTTTGCGGGTTTGGACCTACATCAGAAATCCTCCCTTGCTCATATTTGTGTACATGTTCTCTGTTTATCTGTATCGTCTTTCAGGCGGGGAAATGCTCAAGGACGGGTGAACTGAAATAACTGTTTGAACTGTTTTGTTTTTGGCTGATGCTCAGAACTAGGGATGCACCGATCCAGCCTTTTCTCTTCTGATGCCAGTTACGATACTTGAAGTCTTGTCATCTGATCCTACTGAGTAAAGATCTGCTTCTGGTGCTCTGTTAAGGCTCACTGTCTTCTAAGTAGCAATGCACATAAACATAATTTTACAGTAGAGGGTAATGTACCATAGTGCAGACACTCATACACCTACATTCTTGTTAGGATTGTGCAAATTTTTAAATGATAGTGGTCTAGAAAATTTATAAAGTTGCGCTGTTACAGTTTCATAGCGACTGTGGCTCTGCCCAAAACTGAAGGTAGCTACCTTGATGTCTTGCTGCCCATGCTGTCTCATAAGTCAGTGACTTAGAAGGCAATGTTGTGATGACAATACCTACAATGGATTCACGCCTGAGACACACTTACAAGGCAGCAATATGTTGCCAAGATACAGGCAGCTCACTGATTGCTGTTAGTGTTTAGCTGTGGCACTTCTTGCCTGTTGTACCTTAGCATTTACACAGCTACAGCTGTGTTTCTATGTTTTCATTGTTGGATTAAACAAATTTGAACCCCTGGTGGTTCTTAAATACGATGTTTAACCTTGGAGAGTAGCTAATTTATTTATCAAAAATCTGTGACCGGTCCAAACAGCTTTTTAAAGACCTCGAATACTCGTTGGCATATTCAAATACTTGTTCTCAATTTTTTTAAGGATAGTATTATATTTACATTTCATAAATAACTACAATTTAAGCATGTTTGTATGGTTTCATTATCATGTCAATTTTCAATCAAAATATCCCTATTTCAACCAAATATTGTTTTTAAAGTATTATATTTGAAATATATTCTTTTAGCGACATCCCATAGATACCGTGAGACAAATGTGCTGTAATGTAATAAAAGTCAGATAAGGAGACAGATGAGTCTGACTGGAATTTTGCTTAGCCTCGATAGCAGCCATGATGCAGAAGTTTAAGGCATAAATCTTTTAAAATTTTTGTTTAGTGATGGGTTTTCATCATCACTTTAGTTGATGTACTGAGTGGAGTCGAGTTCATTTTCCACTGTGAAGTTCAATTCCATCACGAGTGAAATAACTTTGACAGGCACACACAAATCTCATTCATTTGTATGGATTTATGACTGTTTATGTATTATAGGGACTGACTAAACTGATTAGCTAGACTGCTATCTCTGTCTTTGTCTCTCGGTCCTGCGGCAGCTAGAGAAGTGACTAAGGCTAAGCTTCTTCACCTGAATGTCACTGTAAGAGGAAGTGTGGCTGATATGTATATTTGTATGTGTGTGTGTGTGTGTGTGTGTGTGTGTGTATATATATATTGTTGTGGATTAACACTGCCATATTATTCTGGATGTCCTTTCACTTTCAATAAGAACCATATTTAACAACGGAAGTAATTCTAAAATATTGTGGCGTCAGTATACGCCTGGTATTTGACTGAGTTATGAAAATTGATGGATTCTTTTCTGAAAGGTTCTAAAGCTAGGTTTAGGTTAATGTAGTCCAGTGGTTCTGAACCCTGGTCCTGAAGGCCTGCTGTCCTGCACTTTTTAGTGTTTTCCCTGCTGCCAACACACCTGATCCAACTAATCAGCTCATTAACAGTCCATTATCGAGTTAAAGTGGGTGTGTTAAAATGGGAAAAGCACTAAAAAGTGCAGGGCAGTCGGCCTACAGAACCAGGCCTGAGAAACACAGATGTAGTTCTTAGCAGCCCCACATATGCTAGTTTTTCTTTATGGGGGTTGTTGGAAGGGAACTTCACATAGCCTCGTAAACAAAGCAGGGCTACGGCTAGGCTAGTCAATCATTATTGAGTAGTAGCCGCTAAACTAGACACAGGTCTGCTGTTTTTCATTTTAGTTGCTTCTTTTTGAGTGAAAGTAAATTATAGACCAGCGCCCTGACTTGCCTGAGTTTCTTGGAGTAAACCACATCACAATATTTTTATTGGGTGAAATGATAAAAACAGAAATGAGTAATATATAGACAAACATATTGCTTTCTAACCCTGACGAGATAAAGGCGAGTGTACATAAAGCAGCAGCTTCTCTGAGCACAGCAAAAACAGTACAAAGCTGAAGTCAGTTTCTTTGCCACCTTGTTGTTAGAATTTTTTTATTCTAACAAAGAAGCTGGCGAATAGAAAAGCCAATTTCAGCTTCATAAAAAAACGGTGGTAAATGTAGTTTTATGTCTGAAAGTTATTTCTCTTATATGTGCGTTGCTTACATTCAAGCTTTAATCTTAAGACCATCAGACGCTGCTGGAATTTAGTCAATATTAAAAGCCGTTCACACTGTCAGTTTTAGCTGAGAAGCTGTGGAAGTTCTTGAGGTGAGCAAATCAGCATGTTTTGCACTGTTTGTACATCGCCTTGCCTGCATTTATGTGCATACCTTCATAACAGTAATGACAAAACTAATACCTGAAGAATTTCAACCGGTATACCAGATAAACCGGTATATCGCCCACTAATACTTAATGTCACATCCGTCAGTAAGTAATTGCCATTTTCTCCTGGTTTTATGAAAAGTTTTGTTTAAAGTGAAAAATGAGCCTCAGTCTCTGAAATGTCAGGAATTTTAAAAGTGTTCTAGAATTCTGCTGTCGTCTCAATTGTGAATGAAAGATGAAGCTGACGAATACTAAATTAGGGAATGAATAACAGCATGAACAAATACTCCAATGTTCGGATTATTTTGGCTGTTGCAGTTTTGTTTTATTGTTGTCATTAATGTGCAGTATATCCATGATAACATTCTATTTCATAAAATAGTGGTGTCCATTTTGCCAAGTGGTTTATTTTTAGTTTATTCTGGTAACTGTTTTATGCAGAGTGAATGTATGTGTCTGTGTGTCTGCGATGGACTGGCGGCCTGTCCAGGGTGCCTTCCGCTTAATGCTAAAAGCAAACTTTCACACTGCTGGAATAAGCTTCAGCTCCCCCCGTGAGCCAGGAGGATAAGTGGCTTAGAGAGAGTGTGTGTGTGTGTGTGGGTGTGTGTGTGTGTGTGTGTGTGTGTGGGTGTTTATGCACATTATTCATGGTATCCTGGATCTGACAGTTACCTGCAATGATGTTTGTTTGCTGGATACTTTTAAAAGAACAGTTCC